CAAGACCTGCTGGCTGCAGCTGGCCGATTTCCGCAAGGTGGGCGACCTGCTGAAGGAGAAGTACGACAGCGCCGCCGCCATGAGGATCAGCCGCAAGGGCAAGCTGGAGCTGGTGAACAACCGTTTCAACATGCCGACGCAAGAGGACCTGGTCTACGTCGACCCCAGCCCGGACTATTGCCTGCGCAATGAGACCACTGGCTCGCTGGGCACTCAGGGCCGACTGTGCAACAAGACCTCAGAGGGCATGGATGGGTGTGAGCTGATGTGCTGCGGACGGGGTTATGACCAGTTCAAGAGCGTCCAGGTGGAGCGTTGCCACTGCAAGTTCCATTGGTGCTGTTATGTCAAGTGTAAAAAGTGCACAGAGATCGTCGACCAGTACGTCTGTAAATGAAAAGAGCCACCAAAGCAACAAATCTATATTATATAATTCTATATAAATATATTTTATATTTGTATAAATAAACAGATGATGATAATAATTAAAGAAGCTTATTTAAGAGACATTTTGGTTTTGAAGTTTCCCCCATCAGGCCGTCTGGGTTGCCATTCCTGCAGTTCTGCTGGGGAATTTGCCTTTGGGCGCATTTCCCCTTGGATGTTTCAGTCAGGGTGAAGAGGCTGAGGAGGTGTTGACAAAGCGAACTCCCCCCTGCACACAAGCACACGCTATTTTGTTACAGAAACAAAGCCAGCGAGAAGGAGAAGGGTGGCTTCTTTCTGCTTTCTCATCTCTAAATCTCAGCATTTTGCGTAGTTATTGCACGTCTGAAATTACAGCCAAACGTGGGTGAGTCCTAGTTATTTGAGTTTCAAACCCTTCCACCCCACTAAACGCACCGGGGAATTTGGAACCGATTCTTGGTCCCTCTAAAGGGCTTTGTCACATTAGAGGGAAGGTTAGCCAAGGCTCCTCTACAAGAACATGGCTTAAAATCCAGAGTCCTGTAAACCGTTCCTGGATGCTGCACAGGCCACAGTGTGGTGGAGGAAGGTTTACAACCTGCTGTCGTGAGGAAGGGGTGTGACCTGCGGCTGACCAGGGCACAGCCCGAGAGTCCCCATGAAGCCAGCACCTAGCTCTTCTGTACCGCCTGGGCAAGGGGGAAATCTGCCCGACTCAGACTACATGGCTATGTGCATGAGGGAGATTTTTTTTTTTTCCCCTTTTAATTCCATGCTGAAACTTAATTTGTCAGTATAGAGGAGAAGCTGCCGGTGCCCAGGGGTGTTTGCAAAGGCAATATACTTCATATTTTGTCAGTAGAAAGAAGCATTGCACACGCACACGCGTGCACATGACTGCACAAGCACTCCTCACACCGCTGCTGGTTTTCCTCTTTGAAGTGGATGCAGGTGGTCACCTTGTTCAGCTCTATTAAATCCTCCTCACCACCATCCCAGATGTATAGTTTCTCTTTAACATTAAACATCCCTCAATGACATTTCTTTCCCTCTGTTGCTTGTCTATTTGTGTGGTTTTGTTTTATTCTTTTGGTGGAGTGTATTTTATTTTGCTGCTCTGTATTTCAGAGTCCAGAAGCCATGCTCTTCCCCGGCGTAAGGTAACCACAGATACGTTTGCTCCCAGAATGTGGGCGTATGTTCACCGATGGAAGTCTTTTCTGTGTTTTTCCTTGGTAATAAAAGAGTATAATAAAATTGTACTAGGGCAGAAGGCATTACCAAAGTCTGCTAATCAGTCTTACCACGTTGGAATTTTAGTAGAATCCAATTCATAAAGCAGGGAACAAATGCTGTTTCTAGCACAAGACATTTCCTGTGCCTCTCAGCATCTGCAGAGTTCATTTGCAGTCAGAACAATCAAGAGAAGCCAGTCCTCAAAATGTAAGGGTTTGCTAATATACATCCCCTTTGTTACTGACATTCCAAGGGTGTGGGGTTGTTTTACTGTAAATTTTAAAATGCGCAAAATATGCTAATAAGCAAAGAGCCAGTCATGAAGATTATTATTTTTATATTAAACCTCTGTTTCCTATAAAGCATTGCAGTTTCACAGATTCCACCATTTCAACCACCAGAGAAGAATTTATATGTACCTTTCATACTTCAAATACTTGAGGACTCGAGAAAAGCACAAGGAAGAAAAATTATGTTTAATAATTAGGAGCTGTTGTTTTTTTAAACCAATGTGTCCAGTGGTTTTTTTTTTGTTTTTTTTTTTTAATCCAACAGGCAATATATTTGCTGGCATCCCAGAATACAGTTTCTTGGAATATAAACAGTGGCCTAGATTTATTTTATTATATAAAATCCAAAGCCAGTGGTATTGTAATTCAAAGTAACGGAAATAGTTTTCCATGCATGGAAAAAATGTGAGTGCAACGGCCTGATCCAACTCCCATTAAACTTCAGTGGGAGCTGGACTGAGCCCAAGATCAGATCAAATGTGTGAGCTATTCACTCCTGGGATACTCTACGTTTCTAGCCCAGTAATAAAACTTACTCTACCTTGGATACATCTAAAAAAGACCTTTCCTCCCACCACCCTCACCTCATGTTCTTGTCCATCCTTATTGCGTCGGTACTTAAAAGGTGTCAGCTATTTGTATATGACACCCTCAGGCATTGTTAATGTGTCTAATAATTCAAAATGATTTCATTTGGCCTTTCCGATAAAGACCACACATTTAAGGGAGTCGCAACTCTCCTTGCAGTTTGGCACCACAATTAATTTTGTGGGTGTAAACAACTTCGGGAGCAGAAAAGTTGGCATTGTTAGGGCTACTATTCATCTGGGTGTCCCTGGATACATCCTTCTTTTTCCGCCTAAAATGCTGTCTGGATGGAATAAAGATGATTTTTGGCCTTTTGTCCCAGCACTCCGGACCTCTGGCAGCCCGGTTGGATGCAGCAGTTCCTGTTGGACTGGGACCATAGAGCAATAGGAGAGAAGTGACCATTGGATTTCTCTCCCCCCTACCCCCCCTTTTTTTTACAAGACCTAGGTTTCAGTCTTCTCGACTTTCTGGGAGTTCTGTATCCAAAAATTTGATCCTGCTAAACTCTAGCTTAAAACTTAATTTCTATGGCGCCTTCACATAAAAGAACCTCCTTAGGGTGGTAGTAAGTATAAAATAAGAGCACAGCCGGTTTGGTTTGATGCAAAGCCAAAGAAAGTCAAACAGAAAGCTGTAGCAGAACTGCTTCTTTACCATGAAAGTTACAAAGTGGTGGATTTGAAGTTGTGCCTTGTTAGGTGCACAAAGCGGTGGAGGCATGTGGGGGTGGGGAGCTAAGCTTGATGGTGAGCTCTGCTGATTATCTGCTTTGTAATCGTCAACAAGTTACTTAATTTCTTTGCATTTTAGCCTCCAGCCTCCTCCTGTATAAAACGAGGAGCAGAATACCTCCATTTTCTGTAAAGCTCTTTGAGAAATACAGCTGAAAAAAAGGTAATTGAAGGCCTACCCTCTACGCTCATTAACTCTGGCAGGCAGACAGCTGTATCCCCATTGTGCGGGGACACGCTCAATTCGGGACAAAGAGGCTGAGCGGCACCTCGGAGGGTCAGAGGCTTGGAGGTGGTTGCTGGGGTGCTCAGCGGGAGCCTCAGAGAGTCTGTTGCAGCGAAGCCCTACTCCGGCACAACGCTGGAGGGAAGGCCGTTGTACCAAAGAGAGGTGAACTCGGGGCATGTTTATTTATGGGTATTGAATATCTGGGAGCAAGAGTGAGGCTTAGGGAGGTTAGCCTGGTTTCTGAATCAAATACCTGCCTGCGCAAATTCTGTTTGCAGTTTCATATGGATAAGATATTCACACAATACGCTATTATGTAGTGTGTGCTGGTAGCCGGCTGCCACATTCCAACCCTGAAGGCGCTGCACCTCAAGGCTGATAGAAATGACCACCCGTAAGTCATGTAAAACTAAAATATTTTGGAGTTAAAGGCACTGTGCAAATATACAGTTATTGCAAGTCAGTGAACATCAGCTCCTAAACGGAGCAGAACAGGATGCAAATCTGTCATCATTTTCCAACTGGCTAGTAATACATAAGTTATAATGTGAATGAATGAGGCCTTAGTATGTTCTGCAAGGTAAGCTAAGCAATAGCTGATCCCAGAACAAACGGAAACTTTCATTTGATGTTGATTATGGTAAAAAGATAGCGGCAGGGTTGTGAGAAAATGTAAATGAACCTTTTAAGACCACTGGACTCCAGGCCATTTGCGTCGTTTGGAGGCTGCCATTCTTTGTCCCCAAGAAGTCTGTGCCTACCCAGAGCTCAGTGCAACAGAGCGACTGCTGCCTTTTGCGAGTCAGGAAGCAGCCAAGTTGAACCCAGCCACGCAGCGGGAGCGTAACTGACATTTTCTATATGGACCAAGTTTTGTAGCCCTGACAAAGCACAAATGAAGCAGATCTTTTTCAGTCATGTAAAATCAAACATGCAAGGGTCTCTCTCTTCTCACTTGACCCTGTCCAGGGAGAAGCCTAGTAGGTTTAAATTACGCTGTGGGAGAAATTCCTCATCACCTGTGGCTACAGCAATATAGACGGTATTTTCATCAGCTGACACAGACACAGAACATCCCAAGGAGACCTTGGGAAATACCTTCCAGCGACTAAAGGGCATTTCTCGTGTCTGTCACAAGGTTTTCCAGAACCTACTGCTTATGTGGTCATTCACGTTCATTTGGCTTTTGTTTAACTACATTTCTGGTAAAACAGATTCTAGAAGATATACTCTGTGAAATCAAGGTCACTGAATGGCAGGCTCTGAAGGAACTGCCATACGACAGACAGCGAGCAGATATGAACATAATATTGGATCTCCTTCTCCTCAAAGGTAGTCTCTGGCTATGTCTAATCCATGGGGCCCAGAGATGCATCCCATCTCCTTGGTCTGGCTGTGTATCCTGGCCATATCCTGACCCCCTGCCAGGGCAGCGCAGGCACCAACACCCTGTGTGCAAAGGCTGATGGACGCGGGGACCATGGAGCGGGTAGCCTGTCCCAGCTCCAGCTCCAGCATAGATAGCTGGTGGCTTTGGGACCGGGCCACATCATGAGCATACCAGCTCTGAAGTCTAAATATAACCAGCCTCAAAGATAAGCAAAACAGATTTCTGTGGCCAACAGGGCACATGCCAGAAAGGACAAAAAGAATCCTGGTCAGCCATTGTAAATCTCCAAATAGCAATAATAAAAACCCTGGTATAATGCAATGATCTCAGCATGCTCATGCCTTCCATCCATCAATCTTTTCCTATAGGGCCTGAAGCTGTTGCTATACCGTCTTGTTTCTTAGCTCTGTTTAAATGACAGTTGAAATCTATTTTTTTGCATTAGGATGCAAAAAAGGCATGACCTACTCATAGCATTTCCTTGAAGAGAGAAAGAGAGAAAGAGGGAACAAACAGTAGGGTCGGGAGTTCTCCCTGTGAGCAGCGATAAAATGCAGCAGACATAAAATGGAGCACTAAATATTGCCCTGTGACACTCAAGTTGGACACCTGCCCTAAGTGTCACCGTTACCTCTGCACGCTGCCTGCCC